CTGTTAGAAAGTTGCTTTTGCCAGAATTATTATTAGAACTAAAAATTTTGAACACAAAAACTTGGATATGCTTTTTGAAAGAAGCGATATTGCACTTTGAGGGTTTTCTTTTAAGGCACAAACACTTTTTTCGTCAAACACGATTAGAAGTCCTTTACTAATCTAAAAACGTTTTTAATTATTTTAGAAACACTTTCAAATGAAGATATCAAACTTGAGTGCAACGAAATCAAATTCTTGTTGACCTAACACAAGTATTGTCACAACCCGTTCCAAAATACTTTTATCGAAAGTGCGAAAGACTATAATGCCCTTGGGCGTTGAGATGAGTCGTATGTGACATGGTTTTAGAAGTGGACCAATATAATTATTTCCTAAGTTTTTGGGGCCAATGAGAACTAAACCTTGGTTAGTTGTGAATGGTTTGTAGATTGGACCACACACACACATCCACATTACTTTATCTCTCTCTATCTCTCTCTCTCATTCTTCTTGTACAGACAAACACCAAGGATCTCTCAAACCTCACTGATCAAGGAAGAAAATGGTACCATTGTATTCGTGAAGCCCAGACGAGTTGATTGGTACCCATTTCAGGTAAGGATACCTTTGAACACCCTAGTTTTTCATAACCCCCGATTTGTGCACTGTTCATGCACACGTAATTATGGATGTTTTTGGGAATTTGAAGCTTGTAGGAAGCTTAGTGAGGTCCCAAGGAAGCTCGGAATGCTTCGTTTAAAGGTTTTGGACGTCGGGATCGTGTGGACGAAGTTTGGCCGGTTTTCTTGGAATTCTCTGATGAGATTTCGTGACTTTTAGAACTTTAAATTAGTATGATTGTGTTCTACAAGTTAAGAGCTTCATTTTGGTATAAAATATGTGAAAAATGGTGCAAAAACGAGTGAGAAATGGGCAGTTGCAGGTTTGCCCAGAATTTGGCGCCGGTGACACAATTCCAGCGTCTGGAGGTTGAAGACGATTCGCGTGGGCTGCGCGTGAGGGCGTGTGAGCCATAGAAATTTTTTTCTAAAAATATCACAATGTTCGTGAGGTTGTGTAGATCACTGTGGTATATTCATATACCCAAATTGAGCAATGTATTAGAAGTTATTAGCTAGTTTTGTATATGTGCTTTAAAATAACGTTTTTATAGTTAATTCGCATATAGGTGAGGTCTATCCCGAGGACGAGTGTATCCACGGGTGACTCGGTGGCTACGACCCTTCGACATACCAGTGAGTGGACTTTTGTTTTCAGTATATATTTATATACTTGATATATTTCCCAGAAATTCATTTTTAACGAAAGTATGCTTTGAAATAATATGCCAAATGCTTCTATATTTTGAATATGCATTGCATGGTTGCATATATATATAAATGTGGTGTTGTGGAGGCACATGTGAGTTCAGGTAAGTTATGTTTGGTTGTGTGAATAATCGGTGATGTGATATGTGATATGTGATATGTGATTAAGTAATGTTGAGCTCATAAAGCTGCACCTAGGGTGATTGTGAATTAGCCAGAGATATGAAGTACATGCCTGTTTATTTACATCACCTCCCGCACTATATGCTTATATTGGATCCAACTTATGTGCACAGTCTTGTCGTACAAACCTTATTATGGTTTCGACTCGTAGGTGACTAGCGATTTATCGCCCGACTATTATGAGAGAATAGAATTGAGCATAATTATATTTCACCCAATCTTGTCGTACATACCCTTTTCAGTGGTTCCGACTTATGTGCAATATATTGCCATATAGGTCATAGTAGTGACTCCGGCTAGATTGAGTTTGAGTTATGAATTCAGTCGTACAGACTACCACAGGAGTTCTGGCTAACATATCACATTTCTATGAAATTATTCTTACCTGAATTGTTTACTCTATGATATCTTGGCATGACATATATACATATGAATATGATTATGTGAAGCATGAATTGAATTGATATGATTTCAGATATATATATATATATATATATATATATATATATATATAGTATGCTTCATTTTCATGATCCCTATAATTCCATGTTAAATGTTGACCTTGCATGTATTTATGAGTGCATTTTGCTCTCCATCCTTTAGTGTGGTGTATGCTCACCAACTTATTTATCACCGTTAGATGAATTTGAATTTTGAGATTTGTACTTATCCACTATACGAATCTCGAAATTCATAGTCATCTAACGGTGATAAATATGGTGGTGAGAAAAAATGTTCCCTTTATTTACCAATAGGATCCTCTCCAGATTTTTTTAGTGAGGATCTTGGGGATCCATAAATTGTGTCCATTCATTATACGGCGTGCGGTCAGTTTTTGTCAGGTACTGTTTATATTTAATTTTAAATAAAAATATTTAAAATGATTTCTGACTGCATAATATACGATGAACGAATATATATATAAATGTGGTGTTGTGGAGGCACATGTGAGTTCAGGTAAGTTATGTTTGGTTGTGTGAATCATCAATGATGTGATATGTGATATGTGATTAAGTAATGTTGAGCTCATAAAGCTGCACCTAGGGTGATTGTGAATTAGCCAGAGATATGAAGTACATGCCTGTTTATTTACTTCACCTTCCGCACTATATGCTTATATTGGATCTAACTTAAATGCACAGTCTTGTCGTACAAACCTTATTATGGTTCCGACTCGTAGATGACTAGCGATTTATCGCCCGACTATTATGAGAGAATAAAATTGAGCATAATTATATTTCACCCAATCTTGTCGTACATACCCTTTTCAGTAGTTCCGACTTATGTGCAGTATATTGCTATATAGGTCATAGTAGTGACTCCGGCTAGATTGAGTTTGAGCTATGAATTCAGCCGTACAGACTACCACAGGAGTTCTGGCTAACATATCACATTTCTATGAAATTATTCTTACCTGAATTGTTTACTCTATTATATCTTGGCATGGCATATATACCTATGAATATGATTATGTGAAGCATGAATTGAATTGATATGATTTCAGAGATATATATATATATATATATATGCTTATATCTTGATTCTGGGAAAATTATACATGTTTTACAGCGAGGGGTTAGTTATGTTGGTAAATGAAATGGTTTTGCAAAACATTTGTTTTTGCCCACTCACGTTTTCTGTTTTGCGCCCCTCCAGGTTTTAAGTAAGCTTGCTGTTAGTGGCTCAAGGACGTCAGCTGTTCTGACTTATCTAAATAATAGTAAGACATTTCTGGTACTATGTAACTAGTACTTGTCTTACTGGACTTCACCTAGACTTTATGCTCTGATTAGGAGTGTTTACTGTTGTAAATAACTCCTATCACTTTCTGTTTAGTAGTGCACTTTAGTAGTGTGGTTTTTAATTATTCATATGTTTGCTATCTTTATCGCTTCTGCACTGCGCACATGACTACGTCACTCCCACGTGACGGCCAACATGCCTTGACCTTGGTCGGGATGTGTCAAGTATGCTTCATTTTCATGATCCCTATAATTCCATGTTAAATGTTGACCTTGCATGTATTTATGAGTGCATTTTGCTCTCCACCCTTTAGTGTGGTGTATGCTCACCAACTTATTTATCACCGTTAGATGAATTTGAATTTTGAGATTTGTGCATATTCACTATACGAATCTCGAAATTCAAAGTCATCTAACGGTGATAAATAGAGTGGTGAGCAAAAATGTTCCCTTTATTTACCAACAGGATCCTCTCCGGATTTTTTTAGTGAAGATCCTAGGGATCCATAAATTGTGTTTGTTCATTGTACAGAGTGCGGTCAGTTTTTGTTAGGTATTGTTTGTATTTAATTTTAAATAAAAATATTTAAAATGATTTCTGACTACATAATGTACGATAAACGAATATGATTTACAGATCTCTGAGATCCTCACAAAAAAAATCAGGCGAGGATCCGGATTCCTTTATTTATGTCAACATCTAACTTTATTAGTTGCCATCAACTTGGTTCTCCTCCCTAACCAAGATAATTTAATTTACTAGAGCTATAGTTCTAACCACGGTATACGTGTTATGAGGATCAATTTATCTAAGCAAATTAGATTTTTCAAAAGCAATTTTTTTATATTAAAAAGACTTATGTAATTATTTAAAACAAACAGCAAGATCCAAAGGGTTCCTAGATTCCCCACGTGGCGAGAACCCATTCGCCGTGGCGAAAATTCGGATTTGCCGCGCAGTGGGTCAAAACTCAAAACCTACGAGGACCAAGCGAGGGCTTCGGGTATCGTCATATTTACGAATCCGAGGTTCGGACACTCCGAACCAAATCAGCCTCTGTCGTTTCGCTCAAAACGCGGCAACTCCCGCTGGATAAAGACAAAAAAAATTATAATTAAGCAACGCTAATTTTACGGGATTATTGGTGCCTAATTAGGCTTCCATTTACAACCGTCGGATGGTATCCGGGAACTGAATCGTGACCGTCCATTGGATCTACTCTGTTCATTGGATTTAACGGAGCACTCAGGTCTTGTCTCTCTGTGTCTGTGTCATTTGTTTGGGAAGAAGACAGAGATTTCCAAGTGGGTTTTTGGCTCAGCAGCTCTCTTCACTCGTATTTGGTCTGGCTCAACACCTGGTACCCCTCTCTCTCTGTGTCTCTCTCTAGAAAAACATGTTCTTTGTGGTCTTATGTTGGTGTTGTTGATTTTTTGCTGAGGTTGTTGGATCTGTTTTATGGGATTTTTAGGATGTTTTTGGGGATCCATTTGCATGCAGAGGTTAGGAAGTTGTCAAATTATTAGTTAATTATAAAAAGATTAGAACTTTTTCATGGTTTTTATTTAAAGTTGATTTTTTTGGGAAATTGAATTTGTGGGTCAGCCATAAATTTAAACTTGCTTCTACCTTTTGATGTTGGGTTCATTTTTTTAATAAATTATTTTAATTTTTTTTTTTCTGAAGAAATTTAGAGATGAAGGTATTCAAATTGGAGACTTTGAGGTCAGATTTCTCTAAATTCAGTAGACCCAGTTGATGCCTCCATCTCTCTCTCTCTCTCCTCTCTTTCTCTCTCTTAAATTCAAAAATATTTATTAGTTGAAGTTGACACATCTTTTGTATGATTAATTTGGTTGATAGTGAGAGGAGGTGTATTATTTGCATTATTTGTTTTTTTTAGAAAAATATGTGCAGTTTTCTTGGACTGGATTTTCTCAAGTAAACGATGCTTGTAGAACTTTCTTATTTATTTATTTTTTATTTATATTTTCAGTTTTTTGAGGTTAAATCCGTGAAACCATTCTTTCAAAGCTACAACTTCTCTTATTTTATTCATTTTTTTTTAATTTAAATTTCCTGGAGGCCATAAAAATTTAATGCACAACGACTTCTTCACATGCAGCTATGAAGAGGATAAGCTTCTTTCACTGCAAAGACCTTAAACCTCTGATCTTCTGTCCTTCAAGCAACACGGATCTTCACCGTTAATCTGACCTGAGCTGAAAAGATTTCGAATTTACGATGTCAATTTCGGAGAAATCAAGGCCGTGCTCAGCTTCCTCATCACTGTCACCGATGTCAGTCCACGATTTTGATCCGTTGCTGAAAGATTTGAATGAGAGGAAGCAGAGTTTTCGCCGGAATGTGGTGTCGTTGGCATCGGAGTTGAAAGATGTTCGGAGCCGGTTAGCGTCTCAGGAGCAATCATTTGTTAAAGAAACCCTTACAAGACAGGCATGTGGTGGTTGTTAATTTCAATATTCTTTTTGTGTTTTATATGACATGGTTTTAGCCTTGAAATCATTGGGCTCGTTTGGATGTGCTTTAAAAATGACTGAAAGCGTTTTTGGTGAAAATGGTTTTTGGTTCCAAAAGCATTTAAAAGTGCTTCATGTTAAGCATTTTTAAGTGCTTTTGGAGAAGCATTTTTAAGTGCTTTTGGAACCAAAAAAACATTTTCTCTACAAGCGTTTTCAGTCATTTTAAAAGCACATCCAAATGAGTCTCGGGAAGTGATTTTCACACATCCTTTTTCTCCTCTGCTCGCCCTGATTTATTGGCTGTCGTTGGATTGATTCAAGATCAGAAAGAGAAAAGGAGAGCGCGAAAATAATTTCCCTTTTTCTTTAGGTGTTTTTGAATTGTGGGGTCATTCTGGTTTGTTTGTACTAATTACAGGAAGCAGAGACAAAGGCCAAACACTTGGAAGAGGAGATTAGCATAATGCAGAAGAGAGTGGAACAAAGAAATCAGCAGCTTGAGGTCTCAGCATCTGCGGCTGAGAAGGTTCCACTCGCTTCCTGCTTCTTGATTATGTATAACTTTGCATTTAGTTTTTTAATTGCTTGGCTAATTAAGGACATGATTAACTAACTAAGGTGGTTAGATTTTCTTTCCCGAGTTGATTATTTTTGTTTGCATTGCATCTTATTGTTTTGAAGTTGTCAAATAAGCCGGACTTGTTGTTGAGGATGCCTTTTGGCTTTGCCTCTTTGTTTTTGGCGGAGCCCATTGGAGAAAAGGTGACCTTGGCTTTATGTTTTTGTAAATTTGCTTCCCCTGTTTTGGTAGCTTTAACAATTCAAGTAGGTTTTCTTAGTATGCTAGGAAAGTGAGGGAGTGTTAGAATATAGGACTAACGGTTGTTCACCCTCCTAATAATTTACTTTTCGGAACTGTACAAACTTATGGTTTGTTTATAGCATGTATGGTGGCCATTTTGTTTTTAGATTTTAGTTTTCTCTAGCTGGCTTCGTTACTGTTTTCCAGTATAAGCCTGCATTTGTTTTCCCTTCGGTGATAAATTACAAATGAAAAACCAATGGGATTAAAATTGCGCTCATAAGCATCCACTTCCCAGAACACTCACGCGCACACAGTGTCTTTTATTTTTGCCTTGTAAATGGACAAAGTCTTAGTAAGTTCAAATTCAAAGAAGCCAAATTAGTTTCAGTTTCCATATCAACACGTTAAATAATTCAGCCTGCGTAAAATCATTACAATTGCGTTTGGTAACTAATTAGTAAATTGGCTAATTTATTTTTCGAGTCTCTGCATATATACATGTAGGTGGGCGCATAATACTTGCATTTATAAACAGAACACATCGACATAACATGTAACTGTTGCCCCGAAAGCAGAAATCCAAATTCAACTTTATTTAGTTAATTTCTGACTGAGGTATAACATACTTTTTATGTATAACTAGACATTAAGAAGTAGAGAGTACCAACCTAAGATGTGTGGAAGTTAAATAACTCAAGTAAATAACTGTCTGTTTGAAGCTTGTTTTGCATGTCTTCGTATTGTGAAGTTTTGAGTTGGCTTGTCACCATTGTTTATTAGCTATAAAGAACTTTGTCAAACAGATTTGGAAAATAGTTGGATTTTGAAAATTTATGAGTTTACCTTGATGATTGTGTAACCGATAGCCGACATATTTGTATCTTGGAACATCCCTTGGCTATTGTCTCTGAACAGTGCATCAATTTATTAGCTACCAAGATAACTACTTTCATATCATAGTTTTTGGTAGTTAAGGTTGTGAACTTTATTGGTGCGCACATTTCCCTGACTATAATGTTATTAACGGAATGCAGTTCCTCACGGAATTGGATGGTCTGAGATCGCAACTTTCAGCCACCCAAGCAACTGCGGATATTAGTGCTGCATCAGCTCAATCGGCACAGCTTCAGTGTTTAGCACTTTTGAAGGAATTAGATGAAAAGAACTGCTCGTTAAAAGAGCAAGATGATCGTGTAATTAGGCTAGGAGAGCAATTAGATAATCTGCAGAAGGATCTTAAGGCTAGAGAGTGTTCCCAGAAGCAACTGAAAGATGAAGTTTTGAGAATTGAGAATGACATTATGCAAGCTATCGCAAAAGCGGGGGTGAACAAGGACTGTGAGCTGCGGAAAATATTGGATGAGGTATCTCCGAAGAATATTGAGAAGATCAATAAGCTTTTAGTTGTGAAGGATGAAGAAATAGCAAAACTGAAAGATGAAATCAGGGTAATGTCTGCTCATTGGAAGCTCAAAACTAAGGAGTTTGAATCACAGGTACATTCATCACATGCTTTCTTTTCCTGCAGTTTTTTTTATAAGGTCCTCGTTAATAGATCTGTAATGAAGTTCAACAATTTTCTGGAACAGTTGGAGAAACAACGACGCATTGATCAGGAACTGAAAAAGAGGGTCTTGAAATTAGAGTTTTGTCTCCAGGAAGCTCGTGCTCAAACGCGAAAGCTTCAAAGGGTAATCATTAGTTTTCTTTTCACTGTTTTTGTCAACTTCAAATAAAATTCTCAGTCCTTATTAAATTGTTCTTGCCATTATATTTGGGACTAACATGACCTTGGAAACATATTCATTGCGACAGATGGGTGAGCGGAGAGACAAGGCTCTGAAAGAGCTCAAAGATCAGTTACAGCGGGGTGGTGGTGGAGCTGCAGCTGCTGAAAGACAAAACTTTTGGGAAACCTCCGGTTTCAAAATCATGATGTCTATGTCCATGTTGATCTTGGTGGTGTTCTCAAAGCGATGAAATCATTGTACTGTCGAGTGTCGTGTATAAAGAGCATGAAACTTCAGTTTTAGTCAAGGAATTAGGAATTGCTGCACAGACCACAGTTGTAAAGGTTCTCGTTATGTAGCATTAGCAGATAATGCAATTTTGTTGTTCTCGTTAAAACCACATTAGCGTATGAATATCGAATTTGCAGGTGGGTTCTGTGAATTTTAGTACCTCAAGTTTTCCTCCTCTTCTAAGTCCAACAGGTGCTCTGGTGTTCATAGCAGTTTGGTTGCTGCCCTCTCACTTAATTCATCTTTGAGGCGAAAACTTCAGAGCTTTCCGTGACGTTACGATCAAGATTCAGGTAAATTATTGAAATTTACTTCGATAAATAGCAGAATTTCCCGCGCTAGTTTACTAAATATATGAAGCAATCTTCAATTCTATTAGTAACAACTCAGTACAAAGAACTAGAATACCCAACTAAAAGATATACAAGATCACAAATCTCCATTGCAACTCCCCACCTCAAGAGTAAAATTGTTGTTTCTATAGCAGCCTGGGTTTAGACGTCGAAAAGCTTACCTCCACTTCACCCAGAACCATCTCTGCATCCCCAACCTAGTGCAAGACAGTACCTATCATGTGTCCTCTACCTTCGTTTCTTGCATATGTAGTTACGTACAACCGCGATTTTGATGAGAAAACGAGTTTGTGAGGAATCTGATCACTCATTGAGTTACATGGAGAAATTCCGTTTTCACATGTTGAGAAACATATTTCTTGTAACTAAGGCTGTTCCGAAAAAGATGCAACCAAAAGACGGTTGCAAGCTTGCTGAAGTGGATATTGATGTGTTGAAGCCGGGAGGGCTGTCGGGCTCAAATTCTGGCATGGTTCCTGAAGGAGTCGGGTTGCTTGAGTTCAAACCCGAAGGCGGAGTACCGGAGCTGCAAGTAGAGATGATATTAGTGATAGACTTGGAAATGTAGTTGGAGTTTGAAAGTAGTCATGAGATACAACACTATACATACCCAAATACACCTACATACCCAAATACACCTTCCCCTGGTGGTGGAAATGATGTGATTGCTGGCGTTGGAGCCGACGTTGGTGGTGGAATTGTCGATGTTGGTGGTGGAGTTGTTGACGTTGGCGGTGGATTGGTTGTTGTCTGATTACGAGTTGGTGTTGGTGGCGGAGTTGTTGACGTTGGTGGTGGAATTGTCGATGTTGGTGGTGGAATTGTTGATGGTGGTGGTGGATTCGTAGTTGGTGACGATGGTGGTGGAATTCTCGATGTTGGTGGTGGAATTGTTGATGGTGGTGGTGGATTTGTAGTTGTCTGATTCGGAGTTGGTGACGTTGGTGGTGGAATTGTCGATGGTGGTGGCGGAATTGTTGATGGTGGTGGTGGATTCGTTGTTGTCTGATTCGAAGTTGGTGACGTTGGTGGTGGAATTGTCGATGGTGGTGGTGGATTCGTTGTTGTCTGATTCGAAGTTGGTGTTGTTGGGGTTGAGGATGATGATGATGATGCATAAATGCAGGAACCAGTGCCTGTTCAAAAAATACGTTGGTCTCAGATGTACATATTCTCAACTAGGGTGCAAGAGATCGGACGCACTGACTGGACCAATTAGCCTAACTTAAAGTCTAAGTCCTCTTTGAGCTTGCTTCTAATAACCAAAACCGAGCCTTACTAAGTTTGGCACAAAAAACTTAAAAGCGATTCTCAGTCATGGAACCGCATTCTTTACAAGGAGGAAAAAAATTCAAAGTGCCGGTATTCAAGCAAGTACCTCACATGTCATAATTCAAGTGGAGAGACACGAAAAAATATATTATTCCTCCACTTGTAATATGACATGTGGAGTACCACTTGGATGCCCGGCATTGGAAAAATCTCTCCTAAACAAAATCTCCAACCAGCCTTCAGTTGATGTAGTATAAATCATATGGAAGAAACAAAAAGTACTGATGAATGAAATATTTTTCTTACTTGGATTAGCAGAAACCATTGTGGCAACCCCACCAAAGTCACAGCTAGATGACACAGGATGCTTCTGATAGTAGCTGTTGAATGCATAAGAGGCATGATTCTGTAGAGAATTTGGATCGTAACAGCTCCCACCCTGCTGGATCTGTGAGCAATCTACACCTCCCATTCCACATGCATAATCCAAAGCTGCCTGAAGTGCTGCTTGTGGTGCTCCACTCTTTGCCACACACCAGCTCTGCCCTGGAACTGCAGGAGCATTAGAAGTTGCGGGAGGTGTGACCGGATTCGTGACGGGTGGTGTTGTGGAGGGAACACCACCAGGTGGCGGTGGGTAAGTTGTCGCAGGGTTAGTAGTTGGTGGGGCTGTGGCTGGATTGGTAACTGGCAATGGTGGACTCACAGGGTTTGAGGGAGGAGGTGTGGCGGAGGAAACTTCCACGGGGGTGGCAGGGTTAACCGGAGTTATTGTTACCGGGTTTGTAGCGGGGACAGTACTGACATTGTTTGGGGAGGAGTTGTATGGAGAAGTTGTTGGTAGTGGTGGTGTTGAATTTGTAGGGAAGATTGTTGGTGAGCCATATACATCATGTGAAGTTGTTTTCGGGTGGAGATCGCTTAGGAGTTCTCTGCTGGAAGAAGGAAATATCTGTTCCTCTTCTCTTTTGAGCTCTTTCTGTCCAAAATTTTCCATGCAATCTACTTCTGCATATAACCCTACTAACCTACTTGCAATCTGAGTCTCGTTTTCTAGAGCTTTTGAAACCTTGTCGGCGAATTGAGCCACTTCAGTTGTATTGGGAACTGCTGGACTTTTGATTGTCAAAACCATTGGGACTTCACTACAAGTCAGAACGGAATGAGCAAGGCCTGCTTTTTCGATCATTGACCGAACAAATTTGTCGCCCATGCTAAATTCTTTGTCGATATTTGCTTCTATAACGACGGATCTCACTTCATTGATAAAACTACAGATACCATGCAGGTCTCTTTCATTTCCGCTTCTCAAATTCTCAAGAAATGACAAAGAAAATGCCACTGACACCTTAATTCTTCGGTCGAAGGGAGGACTAGTGAGGACAGCGTGTAGGGTTTTGAGGCTGGATAAAACCCTAGGCAGACTAGATTTTCTTGTATAATCATTGCCTTTAATTGCTACGATGCTTTTGATGTCTACTTGCGAGATAAAAGGCATTATGTGCGTTTTCAACCATGATTTTGAGGAAGATTCGGAGCTGATTATGTTTTCGACCTGCCTCTCATTCAAGTAGAGATCAACAGCTACACCGGTTTTGGACAGAGTACTTAAGGCCCTAGGATCTTCGACAAAGACTCGAATCTGAGACGGGTTGATCTTGTTTTGCTTCAGGAATGATAATGTCCTTCCAGGTGATGAAACTGCAGTGTTTCCACTTGCATGATATGAGAAACCCACCAGGGTTCCTGTTGGATGTGAAAAAAAAAAAGGAAAAAATGACAGAAACTTCAAATTACTTTAACTGATAGTTCTAGCTGTAACCAGTTATAACCCAAATTTATACAAACAAGAACTGATCAGAAAATGAAAAATGCATATCAACTTCAAATTGATCAGTGTGTTCATCGAAATGGAATCTGACATAAGTGACGTTTCGAGTAAGTGTGCACACAATCTTCTCCAGTCCGAAGAAATGATTCAACAAAATAACTAACGAATCAAAAAGTAAAAACTTATTACTTACCTGATGAACAGCAAGAGAGGAGAGAGAGGAAGAACAAGAATAGGCACTTAGAAGCTGCATTGGCCATGATTTTGTGAGGTGTTTCTGGGATTCCAAGGAAAGACTAGGCCGGATTTTAAATGCGATTCATATGCGTCCTTACTGAAAGCGCTAACGAGCAACAGCGAACGGGGATGCTTTTAAAAACATTGCACGTAGAAATGGAGTGAATTTAAACCGGTGGAGAGCGCAAAGTGTATGAAGACAAAGGTGGCAAAAAAGAAAAAGTGACAAAAGGGAGTCGAATGATGAAGAAAATAAGTTTGCTTTGTGACTAAGGTTCATGAGAAACATTGGAAAGAATCAAACCATGATGCTTTTGTGCTTCTTTATCTTTCCTAAAGAGAGAGATGAGGAGCCGATGAAGATTTAAAGTTGGCGCTAAAAAGTATTAAGATTAATTCAGATAACCATGATGATTAAGGCTGTCGGCAGTGTTACTAATAAAGAAATTATTTCCGCAAAGTTATTTCTGTACATCCCCTAATTTATGATCTTTAAATTGAATAAAATCAACGAAAAAAAGGGGACAAAAGTATAGAGGGGTTTACGGGGAAGAGAATAGGGGTGTAAAAATTATTTTCTTAGGGTAAAACGAGGTTTAACCCCTTAAACTATTATCACATTTGAAATTGACCACTTGAATTAATTTTTTGGTAAATTAACCCCTTGAATTATTTAAATCAGCTAATTAACCCATTGCCGTTAGATTCCGTCCACCACTCCTTCAAATTCAAGGGAAAATTAGTCATTTTATTATCAATTCTTACTTGTCAATGATAACTACGAATAAAATTATGATACATGAACACAAAATAATGCGTTAAACATATATCATAATAAGAAAACATAAAAAACCTGAACGTTTACTTAAAGGACTATTTAAATTGTCATTACACATTATTTTCTGTTCATATGTCATAAATTTATTGGTGATTATAGTTGACAAGTAAGAATTGATGATGGAAAAATTAATTTGCCCTTGAATTTGACGAAATAGTGGATGGAATCTACCGGCAAGGGGTTAATTGACTAATTTCAAATAGTTCATGGAGTTAATTAACCAAAAAAATAGTTCAGGAGGTTAATTTCAATTAGAGTAATAGTTTAAGGGGTCAAATAGCAATTTACCCTTTTTCTTATCAAATAACATTTTATTAGTGTTAGTAAGTGGTCTCATTGTATTGATTTTATCTCGAATATTGTCTCGTTATGTTAACAACAAATAATCCCAAATTGTCTTGGTATGACCTGAATAAAGTATCTACATCTTGATATTGTTTTTTTTTTCCTATTAAAAAGGAAACTAGTAGTGGCTTTGCCACGACAATCTATTCTTTCAGGAGCCGAGAAAACTCACAGAGGCATTAAAGTCTTCCCTTGGCTATCATCGTGTGATTTATTAGGGCCAGAAATCGAACTCATGACTTGTGTAAAATTTAGATTTGGAATTTGTACATAAATTTGAAAGATGTGATTTTATGAATTAAAGAAAACACTAATACTAGATCAGCATGAACATCTGGCCTATACTAAAGGAATGTAAAAGCATTTAGATTTGTTTTGACTGGATCATGTTAAAGTAGCTATCGTGCTTTGATAAGTGAAACCCATAAATTAAATTAAACAACCAAAAATTAATGCATAAACAAAGTCTTCCGGAGATTAGGCATAGAAATCCACTTTTAGGTGTTGGCATTTTCTTCTCGAATAAGCGTATGTGGCTTTCTTGCATGTGATCTTGTATTTGTTTATAGAGCATGCCATAGACCAAAATCTTGGTTGGAGTCGGTGTTCACAAGTCTTTGTTTATCTCTCACATCATAAAAATATGTGATAAATCACCGGTTACAACTTACATGGTAGAATTCCTCTTAACAGAGAACTTAGCGGTTCCACATCAGGACGTCAAGAAATGTGTATGGTTTGGTGCAACAGGACCACAATTCTAGTTGTGCATGTAACAGCATGTTCACGGTAAGTGAAAGTTACCAAGAAGATGCAGGGTACCATATTCTCAAATGCAAGATAGAGACACAAGAATGCACTGCAAAGATTTTTTTTTATTGGTCATGCACTGCACTGCATATAGAATAATTAGGAAAACTAACGAAAAGTCCAAAATAACTGTAGTTTTAATGAAAAATGACAAATAAAGGTGTAGTGAATTGTATCAGGGAATGGTAAAAATATGATTTTTCATTAAAAGTGAACAGTACCGGAAATGTTTCGTTAAAACTTTTATGATTAGGAATTAGGTAAGAGTCACAAAAAATAGCCCTAGTCGTTATATTTACCTTGCGCCTGGTGGGTCTAGGTAAGTAGGTAATTTTCCAATCAGGGGCAAAATGTAGCCCAAGCACGCACCTTAATCATTTCACATAACTCTTGTCAAACAGCTTGCCCTAATGACAATTAGACTGCTTTCGTAAAAGAGAATTGTAGTAATGGTTCTTCAACTTTAACTTAATTGAAGCAACAATCCATCAACTAAAAATTCATTACCAATGATCCTTAACTCAGCAAAACGTGCAGCTATAGTCATTTTCGTCAACTTCGTTAAAACTTCCGTTAAAAAGAATCCCATGCATGACACATGAGGTTGAATCAAGAAGCAAATATGGAAAATCAAATAAGAAAAATTGTTTCAACAGTCCCTCAACTTTAATTCAACTCGAGAAATTATCCCTCAACTTTAACTCAATTGGAGTAATGGTCCATGAGTTGATGAAAATAACCATAGCTACACGTTTTGATGAGTTGAGGGACTAATGGTAATGGATTTTTAGTTGAGGGATTATTGCTCAAATTTAATTAAAATTGAGAGACAATTGCTATTATTTACTCTTTGTAAAAACTCGGAAACATTTATGACAAAAAGGAGACGTGGGCCGTTAAGCTGTACAAAAATGACGAAAAATCAAATATTTGCTCTAAAATTTGTTACATAATTAAACCACAGTGCCTAAAGTGACCATTGTGATAAATTACTTGGATCATTGTGACGTTTCACCAAACTAAAGAGGTTGTTTTAGCCAAAATGGTTTTTGGAATTGATATTTCTCACTTTAACATGTGACAATGAAAATCGATAGAAGTTGTTTTGAATTTGTTCATCATAAATTAATTCGGTTCTTCTTGGAAAAATCTGTCAGTATCTGCGTTAAGTGGACATGTTGATTTGACAAAATAACCTTAAAAATGTATTCACGTGACAATTTAATGATAATATTGATAGGTTTTTTACGGAATGACCAAAATGATTTACAGTAGATAAACTCAGGAACCACCTCTATCGATTTTCATTATCAGAGATCAAAATAAAGAGTTATGTCAAAGATTATTTTGGAATAAAAAAAACTAACTAAAGAACACATACGAAGTAGTACAGCGTAAAAAAGTGGCCACAGCCTTTATGATATGATGATTCTGCTGCTGCTAATTAGGGTTTTGAATTCAACATATGCCATTTGAGCCATCTTTCTGCGGATTTAAGATGGATATGCAATCTGAGTGGGGACAAACACCCATGTGGAATACTCTATTGTGCTTCTCTTGGCAGCACTTAAATTCTCAAAAGTAGTGAATCAAAAAGCATCTTCTCTGACTAGATCATCAGCCGAAAGCAGGGAGAGAGAGAGAGAGAGAGAGAGAGAGTCATACAATCACACCTGTATTGATTTCAAGGGAAAAAGGAGTTTATATAGAATATTTTCTTTGTGGGCTTGTCTTGTTGCTCATAAAGTTGGCTCAATACAATCTCAATTTGAAAGGAAGATGTTCTACATTTAATTCAATCTAAACCACAAAGTGAGCGATTTGAACTCGGGTGCAAAACGGAGCACATCCGTTCTAAATAATGCGGCTACACCCACATCTGCAAAAACTATCGCATTACCCTTATCTGAACCCTACAGCTTCACTACATATTCACAACAGTTCTACTCACTAGAAGCATACACATTCAGTTTCTAATCTAAACTACAGCATCTTGTCATTCCTAATTGTAACTTCAATGCAAGGAGGATCAACAAACAAATCACTGAAAGAGGGATCAAGAAGTGCTTCTCTGGCTGACTGACACTGGTCAAGACGCTTCTTCAACGAGCGCAGGTCTCTCTCGTCCTTTGATGAACGTTCCTATCACGGGATGAATCATTCAAACCGAAGTCATTTCTTTTCAGGATACGTAGTTTTTTGGAACGATTCAAATTGACTATAGTGGTAAGGAGTTTCCTGAAAGTGATTGAGAGAAACTTACAAATGATTTCTTTAGCAGTAATATATCCACCAGGTATATCAACCACAGTACATTTGTTCTGGGGAAGCTGTAAAAAGCCAATGAACAATGATTCAGCACTAGTAAAACGCTTAAGCAAACAAGTTTCTTACCTCAGGTAGCAGTCTGTCAAAATTACAGAACATTTTGAAGATCAAATGTGGTTCTCTGCTTTCCACGGTATGATTTTGTTTTTCTTTTTAGAACAGAATTTTCAAATTTGAATCTTCACAAGAAGATATTCATGCGGATATCAAAATACTCTAATTCGCTTTTCAATTTTCACCATGTTCTTGCTGCTATATGTGATAATATATCAACCATACCTTCCCTCCCAGCAGTCATTTGTTACCTCCTTCATCTTCCGGTATGTTTCTGACTGCAAATGATTAACGATCAATTATTTTATACAAGAAAAGATATATTTACTGATGCAACTTTAGTTTCAATCCTTACTTGTCTATCTCCCTTTGGACCTTTAAAGAGTTCAGGATCTGAAGATAGGTCTAGAAAGAGTACGTCTTCACCTACGCATATTTTGATGTTTCTTAAGCATGTTACATCAACACTAAACGTATCCTCTACCGTATCAAACACATTACATAGTAATCGAATAATTTACCATTACTGATTCTTGAAAGACTGAAATCTATTATCGATACCACCAATCCAAATGTTTGAATAAACATCTGTTTTCTCTCAAGAGTCAACGGCATTGTAACAGAATCATTCCGACTTAAAAGGATGTTTCCCCTGCAACAAATGCATATTTCCAGTCAGCAATTCCAGTGTCACTATGATAGAGTATAGACTAAAAAATAACCATACCAGTGAAGATCACGGTGTTCAAACTCATATGCAGCTTCAGCCACGGCAAGGGAAGCTGTAACCTGGAACGGTAATGCAATCATTTAATAACAAATCAAAGCTTCAGGAATCACCTCTAGAATCCTGTTTTAACATATAATTTACCTGGACCAATAAACTCCGTGCTTCA